GCCTGCTCAAAGGCTTTTCCTACCTCTCTGACCATACTGCTTGTCTCCATTAACCTGATCCAGACTTACTACTTGCTCTCTGTATTTTTTCCTGCTCCATATCTTTTTCTTGCTTTGTTTCCCCACCTGAATTGTCCTTTCCACCTCTAGCTGCACTAAGCCTTCACCAATCCCTCAAATAAAGTAACTTTTCCTTCCTCTGCATTGCAGAGCAGTCTAGATCTTTTTTTTTTTAATATTTTAAAGATTTTATTTATTCACTTATTTGTGAAAGACAGACAGTATGTGTGTCGGGGGAGGAGAGGAAGAGGGATGAACAGACTATACCCTGAGCTCAGAGCCTGACACAGAGCTCAATCTTATGACCTGAGCTGAAATCCACAGTCAACCCACTGAGCCACCCAGGCGCCCCTGGATCTTTCTTACACTAATTTATAAACACACTACTCTATGTTGAGTCGAAGATTCTGGGGTTTTTTTTTTCCCCCCTTTTTTCTTAAATGCCACATTCCCAGCCAAGTACTATAGATACCATCTGAATGGAGAAAAGGTTGAACGAAATCCCTAGCCTCATTCAAAGACTGGAGTTGATTAGAAGATCTGTCCTTACATTTTAGAAAAGTAGTTTAAGGCAGAGAGAAAATGGGTAGGAAAAAGGCCTAAGAAACATTCCTTAGATTATTTGGAAGAACTGTTATATGTGAAGACTTCAAAGCAGATCCACCTTCATGATATCATGAAACACTCCATCTAGAGACAAACTAAAAGCCAAAGTATATAATCTTAAAGGCCATCTACTTAGGAAACCACCTGTCTTACCTCACCCAAGTCTTTATAATCAAGAGTCGTGGGGGAAGACTCTTCTGTCTGGCATTCCCATATCGGTCATAAGAATCAAACTCTAAACTGAAAGGACTGTGTATCATATTCCTAGAGGAAACCACTTTAGCAAAACATAAAACCTAACAAAGCTGTATTCTCCCCAGGACAATGCATTCTCTCTCAGTATAAGGAGAAACCAACAAGATTTCAAAGACTCTAAATTAACTTTTTTTTAAAGTTTATTTAAGTAATCTCTACACCCAATGTGGGGGCTCGAACTCATGATCCCGAGATCAAGAATCACATGCACCTTTGAGCCAGACAGTCACCCCAAAACAAATTAACTTCCTAGTCCTAGTAGGGACTATGCCTTATTCCTAATCTTCTCAGGAAAGATTAAATTAGTAATTTTTTTTTTTTAATATGAGGAGCTAACAGTTAGAATTGAAGATATACCTGGTGATGAAAGAAACCAGCCTTATACAGAAAAAGACTCTTTAAGCTCAAATTTATTCAGAAAAGGGCACGCTAACACTTAACCAAAGGTAAGCATTAAACCAAATGGCCCCTTTCTAACAGTTTTCAACCACAGCATTTCTAAAGTAAAGCCTCCAAATTCTTGGACACTTCTCCCATCAAGAAGCAGGGTCTATGGGGTGCCTGGGTGGCTCAGTGGGTTAAGCCTCTGTCTTCGGCTCAGGTCATGATCTTGGGGTCCTGGGATCGAGCCCTATGTGGGGCTCTCTGCTCAGTGGGAAGCCTACTTCCCCCTCTCTCTCTGCCTGCTTCTCTGCCTACTTGTGACCTCTCTGTCAAATAAATAAATAAAATCTTAAAAAAAAAAAAAAAAAAAAAAAAGAAGCGGGATCTATGTCCCTTCTCTGGGATCTAGACTCTGAATAAACGGTAGAACGTGGTAGAAGTGATATTATGTCAACTTCTAGGCCCAGGCCTTAGAAACTGGCAGCTTCGGCAGCTTCCATTTCCTATCTCTTGGGATGCTCAATCTTGGAACCCAGCCACCATGCTGTGAGGAAGCCCAAGCAGCCCACAGAGAGGCCTGCACGGGGAGAGACACCCAGAACCGGAATCCATCTGCCAGCCATGTGACTGCGCCATCTTGAAAGCAAACCCACCATCTTGAATCAAACTACTGCAGCTACTAACACAGAAGCAGAGATGAGCTGTCCTCACCAACCTCTGCAAACTGCAGTTTCCTGAGCAAAATAAATGACTACTGTTTTAAGCTTCGAGTTTTGGGGTGGTTTGTTACACAGCGATCAGTAACTGTATGTTCTTTTAAAGAAAAGGTTTATAACAAAAAATAGCTAGACTGTTACTGGCTCTTGATTCACCACCTCACGTGACCTGTGGGGAGGTTAAGAGCACAGACTTTCTAGGCTAGACTGGCAGGATTTGAATACTTAAAAGTCCCATGGTCCCTGTGCTTCTGTCTCTTTATCTGTAAAAAGAAGACAGTAACCTCCTAGGCTAGGAGGATTAACCAAGGCTGTTTGAAAGGACGCTGTTTTAAAGGAAGCAGGTGGTAGAGAGGAGAAAGTAAAAATACGGTTAAAAAACAAAACAAAACAGTAAGATCAGGAAATCTTGGAAGCAAGGAAAGGGAAAGTAGGACTGTTCAGACAGAAAATCAAGAAGAGGCCTGGCAGGAGGGGGTTGCTTAGCAGACCTGGCCGCCAAATGAGACCGGGCTCTAGAGACTGGTAGAGCCCGCCAGTAACAGGTTTCTTGGCTTCTACAACTCTGCGCATTCCAGCAACTTCAGCAGGAACGGACTGAGCTGAGTGACAGGGCACTGCCTGCAGGAGTAGAATCTTCTTTCTATCTGTGAGGCCTTCACACACCCTCAAAAAGCTGAATAAAGTTTTACCTTCTGTACTCAAGTGGACCCATGTGCTCCTCCCCCATAGAGGCCACCCTGCACCCCCATCTTCTGGCTTCACTGCTGATGCCTGCAATTCCTTTCAACAGGGAAAGAAGACATTTCCATTCCACATTCCAAAGAAAAATGACAAAAATGCAAAAGTCTGGCTACGGTAATAGCAGAATGAAGTTGGAGTTAATCACCCTGCCAAGTGGGACCTGGTTAGACATCTTTGGAAAAGGAGGAAGAACTAATGATTTCTTGAGGCCTACTAAATGCACTAAATCCACTTAACTACCTACAGGTAGTAAGTGGATTTTCATCCATTTGGGTAATTTCCAATGTCTTAAATACTTACTGAATGACAGAAAAAAACAAACCGGAAATATGCCATCTATTAGACCTTCCTGTGTTCACAGAGGAAGGATTTAAAATCAGGGGAGCATCAGGTCACCGTGATCGGGGGAAAGGGTCATAGAGGAGGGAAAAGGAAAAGAGGGAAGCATACAGACATAGACAAACTATAGACTGCAACACTAACTAGAATCATGTTTACTCACTCTGCTGTGAAAAAGACAAAAAGAAAAGATACAGGCTAGCTTGGCCACTTACCAGCGATGTGACTCTAGGTGAGTGACTTAACTTCTGTGTGCCTTAGTATTCCCATCCCTAAAGTGGGTAATTACACCTATTTCATTGGGTTATTCTAAGAATCAAATGAGCGGATATAAGGGCTTAAAGCAGAACGTCACGTGCAGTAAATACTATTTAATTATTAACTGCAATTGGTATTACTATGATCACTACGGTTGCTGAGACACCTGACCTGAAGAGATCAACTCAGGAAGCCCTACCGTTAGACGGCAGTGCAGTGTTCTCTGGACAATCACTACCGGCAGTGTTTCTAGAAACAAAGGACACGAGCCATAAAAGGGCTTGTTAGCATACAGAACTCATGAATTCACCTTTGGGAAATAACTAAGTGGACTTCAGGTACTAGATTTTTTATTTCTTCCTCTCTTTGTCAGTATTTTTCTGGTTAGTAAGTCATTCTTTATAATTTAAGGGATGAGAGAGATAGAAAATGAGACAGAGTGGGGGGATGGGGGAGGCATAGGGTGGCTGGGTGATGGACACTGGGGAGGGTATGTGCTACGGTGAGTGCTGTGAACTGTGTGAGACTGATGATTCACAGACCTGTGCCCCTGAAATAAAACATTATTATGTTAATAAAATTTTAAAAAATGAGACAAAGTATAAACTAGTGCATTCTGAAGCTGATGACAGTTCAAATGACTTGGCTGGTGCAGAACACGCCCACATTAGCTTATGTGAAGCTTTCAGTTACTCTCCATGCTTCATATGACACGGGACTGGGAACAGGAACTTGGAGCCAGCATTCACCATAAAACCTCATGATCTCAAGGCCTACAAATTAGAGGAGAGTTTGCTACCCTAATTTTCCAAATCAAAACTGTGGGTGCCTGAGTGGCTCAGTAGGGTAAGTGTCTGCCTTCGGCTCAGGTCATGCTCTCAGGGTCCTGGGATTGAGGTCCACTGGGCTCTCTACTCAGCAGGGAGTCTGCTTTTCCCTCTCAACAACCCCCCCCCCCCCCCCGAGGGCTCTCCCTCTCTCTCAAGTAAAAATCTTCAAAACAAATAAACAAACAAACTGGGCTTTGCTTTCTATGATGAGCCATTCAGAAATAGGACTATAGAGAATATATCTCAGAACATGAAAACAAGGGAATTATTTAATACAGGAAGAAATGGATAAAGAAATAGAAAATAGATTGGTGGTAGGAGAGCTTGCTTTTGGGTTTACAGAGAATTATACACATATCTATGTACGTACACATGTATTTTATGGATAACTATATACATTATGTAATTCTCAGTACATTTACACTGAAGGGTTGTCTCTCACAGAGACCTGCTCATATCACTTCACAAAGGAAAAAAATTCTTGGCCTCTGATTTTTTAGGATTGACTTTTGAGAGGTAGTCTACTTACCTCTCTCTCTCCAGAAGAGACATAAACATAATATGTGCTACGTATGAGGTGTAAGCAAGGCATCTTTTACACTTTATCTCAGTTCACCTTCGTAATAGCTCTATGAACACGTCTGAGAAAACCACAGCAAAGAGAAAAGAGGAACTCTCCCCAGAGTAACACTGCCTATAAATGATGAAATAAACTCCAGGCTACTTTGAATCCAAAGCTCGTATGTGTTCTATGCACATCACTTTACTGCCTGAGGCATGACAAACAGATACTGTAACATCTACTTGCCTGAATGTCAACGTCTGCCCACAGAAATAAGTTGGAGCGCTGGAGTAGAGCACACCTGAGGACTCAGAATCATTCCGGAGGGCTATATTTCTTCGACTACTCAGGCTGTACCCCTCGAAGCCAGCTGTCCACTCTTTTTAGAAAGCAAAGAGATAAAAAATTATTAAAAGCTTTTGAGGAGTATCTTCAACACAGACACATTACATAAAACTCAGAAGCAGAAGAGGCTACACTTAGGGGATATGGGCAAGTTCCATAAAGGAAGAGATTCAGTGACGGGGTATCCTGGTTAATCTTAAAAAAAAAAAAAACAAAAAACAAAACAAAAAAAAAACCCACGAAAAATGTGTTTGTCTATTCCTGCACAGTTCTGGCAAGAACAGACAGAAGATCAAGTGAGTGCCGTCTCCTGGCTAATGAAATCAGGGTGAAGCATAACTGTTTGAGTGTATTCCAAGCCTGATTAACAATTAGTTAACAAAGGAGTCTGAATATTTTAAAACAGTTATACAGGACAGACCGATTTCAAATCATAAGAACTCCATAAGTCACTGAAGGTCTAGAAAATCAGTATCTTTTTTTTTTTTTTTTTAAAACAGTATCCTGTCGCAACACTTCAAATCTTTGGATTTTGGGGATGCTGATAATCCTCCTAGCACTATTTCTGGACTCTGGAGATAAGAATGGATGAAAAGGTCTCAAAATTCCCATCAAGTAATTTGAATAGGAGACGCTCCACGTTGTTCTCACCAATGCAGGTTTTACGGTCAGAAAACCTAGCTGGCCGTGTGCAAACACTGTGCTGCCTTGAGCACAGACAGGCGCCAGCATTCTGAGACACAGCAAGGCTGTGTGCAAACACTGTGCTGCCTTGAGCACAGAGAGGAGCCAGCATTCTGAGACACAGCTGGGCCGTGTGCAAACACTGTGCTGCCTTGAGCACAGACAGGCGCCAGCATTCTGAGACACAGCTGGGCTTCAGGAGAGAGAAGGCAGCAGCATACCATGAGGCACCAACGTGGAGTGACCCATCTGGGGGACGCTCCAAGGACTCCACTCCTGCCGGCCATCTCCTCGGGCGCAGACTCTGAACTGATAATCAACGTTGGGGTCTATGTGCAACACTATGAACTCGGTTTCAGAGCCTACATATACATCCTCAAAATGATTGGAAGTGCACTTGCGGAACTGCAGCCTGTAATCCTGTGCCGTGAAGTCGTCATCCACCTAAGGAGAAAGGCTTTGTGTTAGGTAAAGGTCAGGGAGCAGTTTCTCCCAGCATCATGGCTTAAGAATTCTGGGGCCATGCACAGAAGCCCAGTTGCTGAACATGGGCTATTCTCAGGGAGATCATAGCAAATAAGCCATCATTACTGCCCGTCTTTTCTTTTTTTTTTTTTTTTTTAAGATTTTATTTATTTATTTATTTGTCAGAGAGAGAGAGAGCGAGCACAGGCAGACAGAATGGCAGGCAGAGGCAGAGGGAGAAGCAGGCTCCCTGACGAGCAAGGAGCCTGATGTGGGACTCGATCCCAGGATGCTGGGATCATGACCTGAGCCGAAGGCAGCTGCTTAACCAACTGAGCCACCCAGGCCTCCCCTGCCCGTCTTTTCTTTATTGAACCATGTGCTCTATACTTCCCAGTTGGATTTGCAGAACTTGGCTTCCTTTGAAGAAACGGCATGTTTTCTCTTTTTTTTAAAGACTTATTTATTCATTCTAAAAGGCCTTAAACATCTTGATTGCCAAAACACTATGTTCAATGGTTACAATTTTGTTTTTACCAATTTTCCCAAGCAGCAGTAACAACAACAGAGTTGTTATAAAATGAAGAAAAAAACACAAAAAGAGCACACACACACACAGAAGGAGGTGGTGGCTGCTTCTTAAATATTGATATTGGGGGCCATGCTTTCCACAGCCACCACCTGATAGCTATAAAAACTCCTATCTGTAGGGCACCTGGGTGGCTCAGTGGGTTAAAGCCTCTGCCTTCGGCTCAGATCACGCTTCCAGGGTCCTGGGATCAAGTCCTGCATTGGGCTCTCCGCTCGGCAGGGAGCCTGCTTCCTCCAATCTCTCTCTGCCTGCCTCTCTGCCTACTTGTGATCTCTGTCAAATAAATAAATAAAATCTTAAAAAAAAAAAGTTAAAAAAAAAAAAAACAAAACCCTAACTGTAATGACAGTGTAATCTCTTTGAATTGTATGCATTATTATATCAAGGAGTTAGCTATCTTGCATGAATGCGCTCTTCTGTGTTTAGGTATCCCATGCCACTCTTGCTGTGAAATTGAAGTTCATATAGAAAAAAAACTTGTATTATATGAAACTTTACAGCACTTGTGAAAACAATTCAATTTGGTTTACGCACAGTGTAATATTTCTGCAAGTAGCATCCAAAATTCCCCACAGACAAGCCTCTCGTCCTCACGAGGTTTCGGCCTCAGCCTAACCCTCTGGGACTGTCCTATTGAACTGCTGCCAGGATTTTACATCCTGTTACCTCCACCTTCTAGAACATATTCTCTACTAATATTACTGAAACCAGTTTCTACTTCATACAGATTTTTTTTTTACAACAGCAATTAAAATTTATCTTCCACAAGTCCTCTTAAGAAAGTGATAACAGTTATCCATTTTGTGTATTACTATTTTAACATTATTGCTTCCTGTACCTGTACCTCCTTTAATTGATTTTGTTCCTCACCATGGTGTCTTGCCTCCCAACCCCCCCATAAAGGAATACACTGTTAAAAATAATAATTAAATAAATGTTAATGTATTTATTCATTCTAAAAGAGAGAGGAGAGAGCATAAGCAGGGAGGGGTGCATGGAGAAGGACAGAGAGAGAATCCCCAAGCAGAGTCCCCACCGAGTGCGGAGCCTGATGTAGGGCTCAATCCCAAGACCCTGAGATCATAACCTAAGCCAAAATCAAGAGCTGGCCACTCAACCGACTGGGCCACCCAGGTGCTCTCAAATGGCATGTTTTCTATACAATAAGGTGAAAGATAAAATACTGGAAGTTCAAAGATCAGAATCCCACAACTACCAAAACCAAGATAATTCACACCCAGAATATATAAAGGACTCCTTTAAAACTTAATAGAAGAGAAACCACCCCGTAAGAGAATGAACAAAAGGCACAAATAAGCATTCTGAGGAATTAGAAATATATGCTACCAAAAAATACATAAAACTATTTAACCTAATTGGTAATATGGATAATACAATCTGAAACCAAAACGAGATACCATACCGCCAAAAACATTAAAGATGGACAATGCCAAGCACTGGTCAGGATGCTGAGTACCAGGAACTCACACACTGCTGGTAGAAGGAAACCCTGGTATAATCACATTGAAAAGAATTTGGCATTTCTGGTACAGTACAGATCCAATACTCTAGGACCTCAAAATTTTACCGGATATATACTTGAGGAAAAATTCTTAGCCATGTACACAAGGGAACATGAATACCTCTGTTTATAGCAAAAAAAACTAGAAACCCTAGATCCACTGACAGGGAAAAGAATAAAAATGCAGTAAGAGTGTTTGTTTTGAACCAACAAAAACATCTATTTCTTTCTTCTATAACAAGGTTTCAGTAAAAAAATCCATTGAAGGGGGGCTTGGGTGGCTCAGTCAGTTAACCATTTGACTCTTGGTTTCAAGTCAGGTCTGATCTCAGGGTTGTGAGATTCACACTCCACGCTTGGCTCATCCTTTTCTCGGTGTATCTCTCTCTCAAATAAATCTTTAAAAAGAAATCCGCTGAGGGACGCCTGGGTGGGTCAGTTGGTCAAATGTCTGCCTTCGGCTCAGGTTATGATCTTGGGGTCCTGGGACCGGGTCCTGTGTCAGGCTCCCTGCTCAGCGGGGCTGTGCTTGTCCTTCTCCCTTTGCCCCTCCCCCTGCTCATATTCGCTGTCTCGGGCACACACTTTTTCTCAAATAAATAAAATCTTCTTTAAAAATCCATTTAAGAAAAAACAATCATTTCCAGACTCTCAGTACCCACTCTGAGTGATGTGTCTGTCAACAGCCAAGACACTCACAACTCATTCGGACATGATTTTTATCTACAATATGGTAACTCATATACATAATATGATTTAATACAGAAAATTCTCAGCAATGTTGAGAATATGAAGAAACCACATTTTAGGATTTTTTAAAAATTTTTATTTATTTATTTGAGAGAGTAAGCAAGGGAGAGAGAGAGAGAACACAAGCAGGTGGAGGAGCAGAGGGCGAAGCAGGCTCCCCACCAAGCAGGAAGCCCCATGCAGGGCTCCATCCCAGGACCTTGGGATCACGACCTGTGCCAAAGGCAGATGCTCTACTGACTGAGCCACTCAGGTGCCCCCAGGATTTTATTTCAGAAGGATCAGTTCAGTGGAACAGAAAATATCAGATACCCAATATTAGCTATCATCTTTTGGCTTTTGTAATAAACAGAAATGGGAAGGAAATGGGAAGAGATCTTCAATTTACTAACTTTGGGAAATCTGTGACGGAAAATACCGTTGTGATACAGAGATTGTTAAATGTACCTTCAAAAACAATCTACCTCAAATGGGAAGAGCTACCTGCTTTCGAATTCCTATGAATTCAATTGTAAAGCAAAGGGACTTTTGTTTGTGAAGAGAAGAAAACGTTCAAAGGTAGTTAATAGAAAAATCTAAAAGGCCCTCAGATTTCAAATCCATAATGTTGAAGCCGCCTCCACAATTCTTAATCACGCACCTTACACCATCGAACAATGATGCCTCCTGGTTTCTCTATTAGCTCTTCGATCTGGACTGGTGGGCGAGATGCTACTGTTCCATGCTTGAAAATGTGGTCTTTCACTATGTTCAGAATTGAGTCATCCAACTGAGCGGACAAACAAGGCACATCAACCAGTAAAGGCACTTCTGGTAAGCTGAGGAAACAAAGCTTATGTGTTTACGAGGCTTTTAATGAAGGGTTAAAAATATGAAGCACAGTTTAGATAGGTCACATACTACATAATGATGCTGAAGCCCTCAGGAAATAATGCTAATGACAGCAGGGGCTGTGGAAGACATTACATAAAGATTCTCTTCCCAAATAAATATAAGCAAGAAAAGAGAAAATTGGTAGGCTCACCACTGTCAAGTTTATACCAAAAACTCCGTTTCAGTACATTTAGAATTTCTTATAATTTGATAATTCTCTTACACATTAGAATTGAAGAAAATCTATAGTAATACTATGCCAAATATTACAATGGCAGCTATTTCATACCACTAATACTGGTATTGGGCAGTGAACCTTGAAATATGTATTTTCTATCTCATTTACTCAGAATCTTTAATGGTGGGAGGGGGGAATGCAGGCAGTTTAAATGCTTAAAACTAAGCCTGAACGGCACTAACTCCTTTACCTGTCCAACTGAATGTGTGAGGCCTTTTTGGTAAAGTTCCACAGTTTTTCATTCTGTTCTCCTACACCACCAAGAATGGCAATCTCCCCTACAATCAGGAATGAGAGAATAAATACACCAAAAAACGGTCACATTATAAAGTAATCACTACAGCTCATGTCTAGGTGGTCTCTGGTTTCTTGCAAATAATTCTTAAGTGATTCCACAGTCAAGTTCCCAAAAAGTGAAAGTAAAAACTATTTTAGAAGTGACTCTAAGGTGAAGCTCACAAAGAAAAGGGATAAATAATGGTAATATTTTACCAGGAATGAAAGATTCTGCTCTGTATGAAGAAATCTGATCTGTTGACCATTTTTACACAAAGGAGAGGGTCTAGGTCCTTTTTTCCATCTCTCCTACAGAATCTTGATTTACAGAACTCCAACACAAGCCAGGACAGATGTTACGCTGATAGAAAAATAGAGCATGGGTTCTTTTTTTTTTTTTATTTGAAAGAGAGAAAGAGAGAAAGAGAGAGAGAGAGAGAGAGAGAGAGGGAGGATGTGGGGAGGGAGAAGCAGACTCCCCACTGAGCAGGGAGCCTAATGCGGGGCTCGGTCCCAGGATCCTGGGATCATAACCTGAGCCGAAGGGAGATGCTCAACTGACTGAGCCACCCAGATGCCCCACGGGCACGAGGGCTCATAAAATCAAATGATACAGCTGTTTTCCTGAAAGAATATCACATATTAGAAATTATTCCACAGAAAAATAAAGAAGAAAAGTTATCTAAAGGCATTAAAAAAAAAATGACCAACTGCTATGGCCTTCCACACCCCCCATTCCCTCTGAATGTGCCCTGGAATGCCTCAAGTTTTTTGGGACCACAGGACAGGACATTCTCCCTCAGCAAGAGGAAAACAGGACATATTGAACACTGCCTCAAAGTCCTCAAAATTCCATAAATAAGTTTTTATCCCTTGGGAGGGAGGAAAGAGATTGAAATTCAAAATATTTCTGAAGTCTAAAACCATTTAAGCATCAGATGCTGTAACAAACAAGTTTGTGCCTCAAAGGATTTCTTTTCTAAAATAAGAACATTTCTCAGTCCTCGGGGTGAGGAGTAGATACTCCTGACCTGTGAACTGCTTCTGGGTTTGTTTCCCAATGCAAAGCCTCTCAGGAAAGACACTCTGTGGCCCCACGAAAAAGAATTTTCTCAAAGGCAGTGTTATGGTCAGTGGCAAATAAGCAGTTCTCAATGAAGAGGAGACAAAATGTCATCAGCACGTAAAGATAACAGCAGTGCCACATTCTAAATGGGACTGAAAGGGGATGAATTTCCAGTGAGAGTGACAGACACCATGAGCCATGCACCCTTTCCATCCCATGGCATTCACAGCACTCAAGGCAGGATGGGTACTTTTCAGGCTCTGGCTCTGGCTCCTTTGCCCTCGATTGTCCTTTCAATGCTGGCATCGCCTACCACGCTCTCTCCTCATAGGACACACTAGCTTTGGAAGATCTACTAGCTCCCACGGAGTCAGACTTCATGTACACACCATCAATTACCATCTTGCCACACTGCTCTCTCTCCTAAACCACACGCCACATGCCCAGCTACCGTCTGGGCATCCTGAGCATCTCAGATGCAACACGCCACAAACTGAATGCCTCACTACTCACTGAAGCCCACCTTTCTCCTTTGTTTCCTACATCAGTAAACAGCACAATTCAACCTGCTCATCCAAAATCCGGCTGGTTTTGGTCATCCTAAATCCTTCCCTTTATTCTCCAACCTAGCTCCAGGCAATCACCAATAATCGACATTCACTGACAGGTAAACTCGTAAATAATTTTCTCTCTAAAAAGTCTTAAAATCAGCTCCACTTTGTCTCCACCATGATGAAGCCCACTGCCTTCTTCATTTCCTGCTGGAGTAGTGCTACAGCTTCTCAATTGGCCTCTTTGACCTCCAGTCTTAGGACCTCTAATACAATCTCCAAACTATAGGCAGCATCATTTTTTAAAAAAACGCAAATCCGATTGTGTAACTCTGCTGCCTAAAATACTTCAATAGACCCCTGATAGGCCATTCACTTCACTCGTGATGCTACTTCTGCTTCCAATTGTGCTATTACCTCCGTTTCTTCCTTTGTCGCTTAATGAATTCCTTCAAGCCTCTGTGAACTCCTCCCACAGAAAGCTATCCACTCTCCCACAGTTAAGTGCTTTCCCTTCTGTGCTCCTTTAGGTCTTAGATCTCTCTCAGCACGTATGCCTCTCACTGTGCTGTGAGCCCCAAAAGGCAGAACCGTTACCTTTTTATTTAATGTACTTGATAAAGATCTGTGTGAAGGGAGGAAAGTGGACATGAAGACAGGAAGATAGCAAGGCAAGATCTGGGTGTGCTTTAACCACAGTAATTGGCTGCAGATAGGCATATAACCACTACGATTTCAGGAGTAAACACCAATTATAATTTTTAACCTTCTAAAACTAACAAAGGAATTAAATTCTGTGAACACTCTGAAAAATATATGAACAGACTCAAAAGGACCTTAAAGTCAGTGTTAGCAGTGAATAAGACACTACCAAAAAACCTTTTGAGAAAAACCATTATCCCTTGTCTTATAACGGATTATAATTAACATTTTAACTACATTCACCCTGGGAGACCTCACTGCGTATCTGTCATCCTATATTACAAACGATTCTGAGGTAGGAACATGCTAAGCACCGCACAGATGGCAACAAGCCTGCTGGCACCCTGAGAAATTAGCAAAGAGCCAAACTGAATGCGCCCCACTTGATAGGCTCCCTGGACTCCCACCTTCTTGGACTAAGTCCTCTGCAGTATTAACTCCGTGCTCTATGAGCTTCTGGCAGTCATCTAGAGGTTTAATGGTTTCCTGTTCAATCGTGTCCACCTCTTGCAAAAGGGTCACCAATCGCTCATCCAGGAGCTTCCCAAGGGTTCCCTTTAAATCATTAAAATGCTGTTTGAGGACATCTCTTGTCTGTGATGCACTCTCTTTGATCTGAAAAGAAAGAACACAAAAATTCAGAATTAGAATCTCTAGAAAAGGCTAATCCCCAGGTATCACCCCTAATCCCAAGGCACTACACAACGATCACCTTCCATTTGTTGACAAATCAAATGTGATTCATTTGCACAAACTTGCAGAAATGCACAGTACTGGCCTTCATATAAGACAGAATGGGCTCAAACCGTGGTTCTGTCATTCACAAACTACATCCGTCTCGTCATGTTAATTAAGCACACCACACCTCAATTTCCTTATTTGTTAAATGAATATAATGCTTACTTCATGGAGTTGCTGTTAACAGTATTAAATAATCTATGTATTATGCTTTGTAAAATTACTGGCACATTGTTGTTCCCAATTTAAAAAAATATTAGAAAGTATCATTATCACACAAAGTAGTTCTTGGCAATCGTATGTTTCAGTACAAAACAATTTTTAAGTAGGAGGGAGTTAAAATTCATTTTACTGAAAAGTAGTAAATAAATGGTAAATCAGAAAGCCATACTATAGGGGCGTCTGCGGGGCTCAGTCAGTTGAGCATCTGATTCTTGGTTCAGCTCAGGTCATGATCTCAGGGTCGTGGGACAGAGCCCTGTGTCAGACTCACACTCAGCATGGAGTCTGTTTGAGAGTCTGTCTCTCCTTCTCCCTCCACTCCTCTAAAATAAATAAAACTAAATAATAAATAAAAGAAAGCCATAATTAAAAAAAAAAAATCACCTAAGGGATAAAATGCTCCCATTATACTAAGAGAAAGCTAAGAATTTATTTAAAATTCAAAGGGGCTCATAGAAGGCAGAAAATCTTCATGAAAACACACCTCTGGGAAAATAATTTAATCTTTTCTGAGTCATTTTCCTCTTTGCAAATCTCAATGAAAGGTTTACAGACCCTCTCTTTCCAGTAAACGAATACTCCATACCCTAAAGAAATTAATTCAATTTCAGAACTTACAAATTCCCTCAAATCTCAACCATGGCTGGCCGGCAACAGTAATTCTGAAACTCGGTTTGCAGAAGAATCATGTAGGCTGCCAGATACAATTTAGAGTGCAGGGCTCCATCCCAGACCTACTGATCCAGAACCTTTGAAGAGGGCTGGAGTGTATGGACGGAGTTCTTGTCCATAAGCACCCCTGTGATTCGGCAGCTCACACTTTGAGAAACATTGCCCTCTGGTCCACAGAGCTCAGATTAATAGCTGCTGCTCTGGGAGATAGGACAGGGAAATCTTTACAGCTCACACATATTTTGAAAACAAACCAGTTGTCTACACAGATACAACACTTTTTTTTTCCCCCTAAGATACAGACAACACATAAGTCACTCACTTAACAGGAAAATTCTAAAAACCAAATAGTTCTGAATCAAAGCAAACACACATTTTACTTTGGTGATATTACCATATTAGTTTCATAATGACATTATTACATTTATTACTCTAACCCTTTGGCTAACTTTATCTTTCCAAGAGCGTTTGAAGTCCAAGAAAATCCACAAAGTACAGGATTTCAACAGTTAATAGAGAAATTTAGAAAGTTTTCCATTTATTCTCTAACACTAAATTTAAAAAGCAGAATACAGAATACAGGGTGGCTCAGGCAGTTAAGCATCTGCCTTCAGCTCAGGTCATGATCCCAGAGTCCTGGGATCGAGCCCCGTATCAGGCACCCTGCTCAGTGGAGAGCCTGCTTCTTTCTTTACCCTCGCATGCCAGTCTGCCTACTTGTACTCTCTCTCTCTGTCAAGTTAAAAAAACAAAAACAAAACCACCACCACCAACAACAACAAAAACTTAAAAAATAAAAATTAAAAAGCAGAATACAAAATTGTTTTCCAGAAACGTTCACAACCATGTAAAAACAAAAGGTGTCAGTGCTCAGGGAGTACAAAAACAAAATACAGGGCGAAAAAAAAAGATGAGTTTGATTGGCCGAAGTGGATAATGGAAATAATTTTTTCTCCTTTTGACAGTAATGTAACTTACAATAGTGTATGTGCAGTAAATGGTAGAATTCTTTAAATCATAAAGAAAAAGAGAGACCCTACTATAAGTTTAATTGTTAAGTAGTCTCTGTACACTTACAAGGGAGCTTCCATGAAATAAACCAAAGCCAAAATTTAAAAAGAAAGGGAGGGGGCCGTACTCAAAATGTTCCAGTTCATTACTCATCTGTGGGATCCTGGGTCCTTAAGACTCACACCCTAACATACATAGCACCTGGGAAACAAATGTTGTTGAGTAAAAATGAAGTTAACTGTGTACATGTATACGGCCTTTTAAATTTTTTTTAAAGATTTTATTTATTTATTTGATAGAGAGTGAGAGAGAGCAGGAAAGGGGAGAAGGTCAGAGGGAGAAGCAGACTCCCCGCAGAGTCGGGAGCCCGATGCAGCACTCGATCCCAGGACTCCGGGATCATGATCTGAGCCGAAGGCAGTCGCTCAACCAACTGAGCCACCCAGGCGCCCATATAAGACCTTTTTTAAAGAACCAGGGAGAGCACGTCTCATGATTTTGATACATCGCCTGGAATACTGTTAGAAATACAGACCGTTAGGTCCCACCCAGAACTACTGAATCAGAACGGACATTTTAAACAAGATCCCCAGGTGAATCACAACAGACCTTATAGATACCAAAATAAACGAAGACATGTTGAAGCACTGTAATACAGGTCACACCCCCACAACCAAGAGGAAATTCTGCAGTTGAGAAGCATACAATGAGGTCCTGTCTCACTCTTTAACGGATACGGCACACACAGGAAGTGCATTGGTTAGGTAAAGTCAATTTCCTCTTTAGAAAGAATTCAAAAGCTTGAACAGTTTCAGTGCACAACTATGTTTTGTTTTTGTTTCAGAACCGCAGAGGAAAGAAAAAGAGGAAGTACAGGAACATAAAGCAGTGAGAAGACTGGGCAGGGGAGACTCCATTTCCAAACGCACCTCCTATACTTATATTATAAACATAGTCCCTTTCGTTTATAGAACACCAACCACCCGTTTCATTTGCTTGGCTTGAAGGAACTAAACCATGCGGACTTCTCTGCTCAGTGATTATTCTTATCTGATGTGGTACCATGGTCCATGTGTGTCCTGCCTGCTCATTAACTTCACAAGGACTCTGAGAGGTGGGTCTCTACTGTCTACACTGAAGAGGGTGAAGCTTGAAGAAGTCAAATAACTTTCCCAAGGCTTCACAGTGCCCGAAAAAGTCTGACTCCAAGGACCATGGTCTTCCCACTTTTCCCATTTTCAGAAGTTCCCAGGCAAACCTATAAATGATGTACGGACTGCAAACACTTCCTGCTGTAACTTGTATTTCTTATCCTTGCATATCAAGAATCATAGGGTAGATAACCACACAGCCCCAAATGCTACCTAGCCTTTCTAGGGCAAAACAACTGCGATGTTAGAGGAACAAAGCAGATTTAAGTAGAACAAATGATACGCAACTCAAGGTCTTAAAAAGGAAACCGTCATATACACTGTATTCAAACCAATTTTTCACTAAAGCCTCTACTGTAATAGACCATTAAAACTCACTTCTTGGGGCACCTAGGTGGCACAGTTGGTTGGGCATCCAACTCTTATTTAAGCTGAGGTCATGATCTCAGGTTGTGGGATCAAGTCCTGCATCAGGATCTGAAATTTGTGCAGTCTGCTAGGGACTCTCTCTCCCCCTCCCTCTACCCCTCTTCCTGAGCGCGCACACACACTCTCTAATAAATAAATCTTAAAAAAAAAAACAAAAACTTACCTTTACTGCAGTTTAATCCCTAAGCAACTGTATTTTTAAAGTTTTAACAGGAGGATGAGTTCACACAATGCCAAAAAGTCATCAAGTTTACACATTGATACTAAGGTTTGCAAAAGCCTGGTAAATATATACTTCACAGCCCTCCAAGACAACAGTGACGGACACATTTTCCTCCAGTTTAGCTACTAAAAAGCTCATAAAACCTATGTAGAATTTGACTTAAAACATCTGTGGTCTTCAGTAGCAATATAAAATTGCTACATCAATGTAATACAATAATAATAACAGCATATTTTAGAAAAAAGTACCAGAATCTCCCCTATCTCCTCTAAAACATGCATTTTTTTTTAAAAGATTTTATTTATTTATTTGATGGAGAGAGCTCACAAGTAGGCAAAGAAGCAGGCGGTGGGGGGCGGGGTGAGGAGGCTCCCCACTGAGCAGAGAGCCCAATCCCAGGACCCTGGGATCATGACCTGAGCCGAAGGCAGAGAGAGGCTTTAACCCACTGAGCCACCCAGGCACCCCTAAAACATGCATTTTTATAACTTTATAGAAGAAAATAATTTTTAACCTCCAAGTTTAAGAATTTATTTTGCCAACTAGTAATAAGAAACTAAAATGATTTTATTTTATTTTTAAGATTTCATTTTTTAAGTAATCCCTACACCCAAAGTGGGGCTCAAATTCACAATCCTGACATCAAGAGTCACATGTTCCACCCACTGAGCCAGCCACCCCAAAACTATTTAAAATTAGACACTGGCTTTAAACACTTAGCTAATAAGAACATAATGATCAAAAATAAAAGACAAAGTAAATATATAAAATAGTCAACTGAAATTGAAAAAGCTAACCAAAATGTTTCTTCTTGGTTCATGTGAAATGTACTGCATCAGCTCTTCGTCTTCACACTGACACCAAGACCTTAGTCACTAAAAATAACGATGACGATGATGATGGTGCAGCAACAGTAATACGGCAACAGCTATCATCTACTGGACACCTGCTGTGTGACAGCCCCTTACACACATGGTCTCACTTAAATGCTACCACAACCCTATGAAGAAAGCATCTATAAATAACTAACATAGTGGAGTCAGAGACATAAACATGCCCACATCAGAAAGCTAGAACACTGATAGAGAATTTGAATTGTATGACCCATTTAGGGACTTGTAAGTGCTGCCACATGTCCTTTTTGCCTTTCTTACAGTTAGGCTTTCTTT